AAAAAAAAAAAAAAAAAGAGAGCTTAAAATTGCTATAAAGATGAGTACATTTAAAAAAAAAACAAAAACAAAAACAAAAACAGAAAACCTGAGTGTGGATAGCTGTGTAACACAAAATCCTAAGTCTTAACAGAAAAGATCGATGAAGGAAGACTATAAAATAACATCAACTAAAACATCACAACGTCTATGTTATTCTTACTCAATATTCAAATAACGCTTCAAACAAATAAGAAAAAGATTAACAACTCAATTTTTTAAAAACCAGTTTAAGATATGAACAAACAGTTCACCAAAAAAGGAATGCAAACGATCAATAGAAAAAAGGAAAAGATGCTCGACTTTCTTCACTCAACAGACGGGCGAAATTTCCAAGATTAAGAATGTGGCCCTTCGCTTTCCTCCACCATTAAAATCGGAACCACAGGGCACCTGGGTGGCTCAGTGGGTTAATCCGCTGCCTTCGGCTCAGGTCATGATCTCAGGGTCCTGGGATCGAGTCCCGCATCCGGCTCTCTGCTCAGCAGGGAGCCTGCTTCCCCCCCCCCCCTCTCTCTCTGCCTGCCTCTCTGTTTACTTGTGATCTCTCTCTGTCAAATGAATAAATAAAATATTTAAAAAAAAAAATCGAACCACAGTTCCCGACCTCATCGACGGAGATTACTACCACCTCGGCAAAGGGCAACTGTAGGGGTTCTTTAGATCGTTTGCATATATATGATATTGTCGTTGAGAACAAGAAAACTATATTCTCCAAAGGCTCACAAAATCGGAGCCGCTGTGTTCTCCACAGGAGCGAGCGAAAAGCAAACTTCGACAGAAACCAACGCTAAAGGAGAATTGGCCCTGAAGATGCAGCCTGCACGCGTTCTCCGTTCGCGCGGGCGACTTGCAGAGCCCGCCACCCAGCTCTCGCCACCGTCCTGCAAACTCGGCGCCAAACGGGAACGCGGAGAAGGGAGCGCTCAGGCACTCGCACGCGCGAAATTCAAAAGCCACCCGGCCTGGCGCGTTTCTGCGGCCACCGGTGACCGCGGCAGCGTCGGGTCCCCTCGGGGCTTCCCTTCGCGTTTAGAGAAGGCCCGCCACACCCACCCTCGGGCAGCTCTGCCGGCGCTGCTCTTGGGGCCCCCGGCCGCCCACCCTCACACCCCCAGCCCGAGACGGAAGGGCCCTGGGGGCACCGGCCAGCCCACTCACTCGGCTTCTTGGCGCCGTCGCTCCCCGCCGGCAGCTGGTGAACCTCGACGCCGGCCCCGCCGCGCTCCAACACCACGAGGCGCCCGCGCGTGCAGCACATCTGTCGCGTCGCCTCGGTCCTTTGGGGCAGCGCTCTGCGGAGGCCGGCGGCGCTGGGGAAGAGCCAGAGCTGAGTGCCCGGCGGCTCGGCGGAGCGCCGCGGCGCTGTGGGTCGCGACGGCGGGTCCGGCCCGGGAACCGGGCGCACGTCGCCGCGAGCTCTCCTTCGCGGCCTCTGCTCCATCGCGGCTTTCCCGGGCTCACACGGCCGCACGTCTGCTCTTCGGGTCTCGGAGGAGACGGAGCCCCCGAGAAAACCGTCCGCGGCGTCGCGCTGCGCAGCCGGAGCTAGCGGACAGCACAGTGGCGTCGAGGAATCGCAGCCTCGCCTGCTCCGCCCCCGCTCAGACGCCGGGCTCGCAGCGTGCTGTTTGGGGGCGGAGCCCGCAGCGCCGGGAAGAAACCAAACCGTCGCTCTGGTTCGGGGGCGGAGTAGAGAAGGAAAGGGAAAGAGAAACTCGGTCGGGTCACGAAGGGCTTGGAAGGCTGCCAGAGGACACAGGGTGCTGGCGGAGGACGGGATGGGTGGGCAGGGCTGAGGGGGCGTCCCCGGGCTCGCAGGGGCCCCTGAACGCCTGGACCCGGTGGCCTTGGAAGAAACACTGCAGTTCCGCTAGGAGGAGCACTGACATAGCCGACCTGCCGAATTTCCAGGAACGACTGCGGCAAGGAAAGCGGCTTCGTTCAGCGTTCGGTCTGGGGCTCCACCAGTCGGCCGCGAGGAAACTGAACCGAGAACCTTGCGGTCGGTCCCTCCGCCCACACCGCGGTGCCTGGCAACCGCGGAGGCGCTTTCTGTCAGCACGGTTTGCCTTTTCGAGAATCCCTTACACAGGGAGTCAACCCTGTGCGGTCTTTGGTTTTTTCCTCCGCTTAGCTTAATGCTGTTGAGGTTAATCCCGTGTTTCATCAGTTATTTGGTCAGTCAGTAGTGATTGTTGGTTGGTATTACGGCAGAGGGGTAGCAGTTTATCCCTTCACCGATCCACGGACATTTCAGTTCTTTCCAGTGAATAGAGGGGCTACGACTGTGAGCACGGCTTGGAGCGGATATATGTTTTCTTTTCTTGGGAGTAAATACCTAAAAATGGAAGTGCTGTATCGTATGGTAAATACATGCATGAATATGATACAAGAAACTACCAAACCTTTCCAAAGTGCTATGCCGTTTTGCATTCCCTCCGGCAATTTATGGGAGTGCCAGTCCCTCTATATCCTCGACATTTGGTATTTTCAGTCTTTTTAATTATAGCAGTTGCAGTCGTCTTTACGCGTATCTTTTGTTGTTGTTTTTTTTTTTTTTTTAAGGATTTTATACTTATTTGAAAGACATAGATACAGCGAGAGAAGGAACACAAGCAGGGGGGAGTGGGAGAAAGAGAAGCAGGCACCCCCCTGAGCGGGGAACCCGATATCGGGCTCAACGGACCCTGGGATCATGACCTGAGCCAAAGGCGGACGCGGAATGACTGAGCCACCCAGATGCCCCTGTATCTGTGTATCTTACTATGGTTTTCATTTCCATTTCCCTAATGCATAATGATGTTGAAGCATCTTTTCATATGCTTATTAGGGCTAACCTCTGTCTTTTCCTTGGTGAAGCGTCTATTCACATCTTTTGCCATTTATTAATTTGCTTATTATCTCAAAGTTCTTTTCATATATTACAATACCTTGTGTTATATATCGTCCTTCATTAGATATGTTTTGAAATATTTTCTACCAATCTGTGGCTTGTTTTAAAATGTTATGAAGTGTCTTTTGAAGAGCTGAAAGTTGTAATTTTAATGTAATTTATCCATTTTTTCCTCTTACATAGTTAATGCCTTTCTTTTTTTTCTTTTGTCTTAGGAAATCTTTGCTTAACCCGAGGTTACAGAGATTTTCTTATATGTTATCGTCTACAAGTTTTACAGTTTTAGGTCTTTGTTACATTTCAAATGAATTATTCTTTATGGCATGAGGAAAGGATAGAGGTTCATTTTTGTCCTGATTTCCCGTTGTTCTGCCTAGCCTTTCCCCATTGAATTGCCTTAGCATCTTTGTCAAAACTCTGTTGGCTATGCGCAGTTGAGTTTATTTCTGGACTAAATTTACTGTGTCCCCTTGATCTATATTTCTGTTTATACTCTAAGACCACACTGCCTTGATTACTGTAGATTATAATTAAGTCTCAAAATCACTTCATTCAAATGCCCACCATTGTCCTTTCTTCAGTGTTGTTTTGGGTGTTATATTTATTTGTTTGGCTATTTTAGGTCCTTCCCATTTCCATATATATTTCAGGATAAGTTCATCGATATCTACAAAACGGACTGCAGGGACTTTGAGATTGCACTAAATTAAATCAGTTTGGGAACTGATTTAATTATCAGTGTGTCAAACTGAATAAATCAGTTTGAGTCTTGGGTCCATGAGCATATCTCTCCTCATCAATTTCTTTTTTAAGATTGGTTTATTTATTTGAGAGAGAGAGAGAACTGTGTGCCCACACATGTGGCATTGGCTGGCATTGAGAGTCTCAGGCCGGCTCTGGAGGTCACGACCAGAGCCAAAACAAGAGTCTGAGGCTTAACCCACTGCAGCACTAGGTGCCCTTCCCTGTTAATTTAAAGCTGCTTTAATGTCTTTCAGCAATATTTTCTGGTTTTTACTGTATAGTGTAACATGTTTTGTTAAATTTATCCTTAAGTATTTATTTTTATATTATAAATAGTTCTTAAAATTTCAATTTATGATTGTTGTTAATATATGTAAGGACTTAATTTTTATATATTGACCTTGAATCCTGAGACTTTTCTATATTTACTTAACAGTTTTAATAGGTTTTGGTTTGGTTCGGTTTGGTATTAGATCTGTTAGGATCTTCTGCAGATACCGAAGTAGTCTATAAATAAGATAGTATTACTTTTTCCTTTCCATCATTATACCTTTTCTTTTTTTCTTTGCCCTCTTACATGGAATAATACCTCTAGTACAATGTTGTACAAGAAGTGATGAGAGGCACCCTTTCCTTGTTAATAGTTTTGGAAGGCATTTAGTCTCTTACCATTGAATGTAAGGTTAGCTCTTTGCAGGTTCTATCAGGTTGAGAACGTTTCCTTCTGGTTCTAATTTGCTAAGAATATCATACATAAGTGGCTATTGCAATTGGTCAAAAAATTTTTCTGCCTTTATTGAGGTAATTATATGGTTTTTCTTTGTCTTATTACAGTGAGATCTAATAGATTTTTAAGTGCTTTTCTGGACTAAACTCCACGTGGCCGCAAAGTATTATCCTTTTTATATTTTGTTGGATATGTTTGATATGTTAAAATCTTAGAAAGTTTTTTTTGTGTTTCTGTTCATGAGAGATATTTGTAGTTTTCTTTTCCCGTAATGTCATGTCAAGCTACTTGACATGAGAGTAATGCCAACATTGTACTTAATTGGGTGGTGTTTCCTCTTCCTCTGTTTTCTTTTTTCTTTCTAAAAAGATCTTATTTTTAAGTCATCTCTATTCCCAACTTGGGGCTCAAACTCTTAACTCCCAGATCAAGAGTTGCATGCTCTTCTGACACTCCTCTTCCTCTGTTTTCTGAAAGAGTATGTAAAGAACTACTACAGTAGGGGCACCTGGGTGGTTCAATCTGGTAGCGTCTATCTTCTGCTCAGGTCATGATCCCAGCATCCTGGAATCTAGCCTGCATAGGCTCCCTGCTCAGCAAGGACTCTGCTTCTCCCTCTCCCTCAGCCACTCTCCCCACTCATTCTCTCGCTCTCTCATTGTCTCTCTCAAGTAAATATATAAAATCTTTAAAAAGAAGAAAAGAATTGCTGCACTCTCTTCCCTAAATGTTTAGTATAGTTCATCCATTTGCATTAGAAAAATTTATGTTGGAGTTGAAAGTTCTGAAAAATACAACCTAAAAGTCAAGTGCCTAGGGATCCCTGAGATTTAGAGGTTACCTTTTCCCTTAAAATTCAAAGAGAATACATCTGGGCCCCCATTCCATTTATTAGAGAAACCAGACATGTCCAAAATAAATCTGAAGATTCACTGGGGCTTGTGTTTCTAAGGATCACCCCACATTCTAGTGTCCTTAGTAAATTCTCTCTGTTCTATCTATCCTCTGGCGATCCTCCCCTCTTTCCACATCACCACCCCGACATGGACTACACCCCATGGTGTTTCCTTTCCAAAAGTGCCATTGATATAAGACATCATCTCTGTATGGTTTGCCGTTACAACAGGCATTTATAGAATAGCTTACAGTTTAAAATGTAATATAAGATAGAACTGGTGTTCAAAATTCATTGGGACGCCTGGGTGGCTCAGTTGGTTAAGCAGCTGCCTTCGGCTCAGGTCATGATCCCAGCGTCTTGGGATCGAGTCCCACATCGGGCTCCTTGCTCGTCAGGGAACCTGCTTCTCCCTCTGCCTCTGCCTGCCATTCTGTCTGCCTGTGCTCACTCTCTCTCCCTCTCTCTCTCTGACAAATAAATAAATAAAATCTTAAAAAAAAAATTCATTGGCCATTTACAGCCATATTTCTCTTTCTCCTTTAATTCATTCCATAGCCATATTGCTAAGACATATTTCATGTCCTTCATTCTCTCCAACTACCAATAGACAGGAGTTCCTGGTTGGGGTTAGAGTTTAGCCAAAATAATGATATGTGCATTTAGAATATTCTTGGAACACAGTATTGAGCATAAGTAATTCTTCGATGAATTAATGAATCCTTTAACATTTAGATTTTTCAAATAAATTACTCAGCAGTTGGCTAAAATAAAAATTCTAGAGACATGCTAGAATATAAAATATACATTTACATGCCTCAAAAACATGTTGAATTATTACTTTTTCAAGCTTAAGCATATCTTTCATTTTTACAGACAATGTGTTTATTAGATATACAATATTTTTAAAAATATCTGTTAGCGGGGCACCTGGGTGACTCAGTGGGTTAAGTTTCTGCCTTTGGCTCAGGTCATGATCTCAGGGTCCTGGGATTGAGCCCCGCATCCAACTCTTTGCTGAGCAGGGAGCCTGCTTCCCTCCACCCCACCTCTCTGCCTGACTCTGCCTACTTGTGATCTCTGTCTGTCAGATAAATAAATAAAATCTTAAAAAAAAATCTATTAGCTTTTAATATTCAGTTTATTTTTAAATGTTAATTATTGTTCAGGAATAATTTGGTA